ATAAAAATATTAAAATACCTATTTACTTTTTTATTAATATATAATTTTTTCCTTTACTTTTAATTTATTCATTTACAAAATATATCATTAACAATGAATTATAAATAGTATATTTAAAAAATAATTATAAATAGTACATTTTATTAGTAATTAGCTGTCAATAATAATAAATATATATAAAAATTAATCTTAATTATTTTTAAAAATAATTATACTTAAAATATTTTATGTGAAACTATATAAAATTTAAGTTACCTTATAATTAAAAAAAAAATTACGTGCATTGCACGTGGTAATACACTGAAAAATACTGAAAACAATCATATTTTTATTGAAATAACTGTCTTCAAATTTATGTTTTGGGTGATCTACTTAAGAATTAAAATAACATTTAAAAATTCAGTAACTATTATAAAAATTTGGACAGAAACAGATTAACCCAACAAAACCCCTTCTATCACTCTGCGCCGTTCTCCCCTCTCATATCGGTACAGGTGGGTCTGTTCAGTTTTATTATCCACCTAACCGATCCGATTCGGGTTTATAATTTGCCCGAAATATAACCCGACCCGATCAAGTTACCAAAAGTAACCGCAGGTCCAAGAGAAGGGCGCCGAAATCAATATAATCACTGTGGCTGGACAAAGGTTTAGGGAAGGTTTTAGCTCGCACCGAAGCAAGTCGGTTATCTTGTTCGTTCGAATCTCAGAAGGATCAGAATCGTATACGAACTCAGAATTCAGAAGCCATGGTTGTGCAGCCGTCGGAAGACGCTTCAAAGTAAAACCAACCGCATTCTCTCATTATCTTCGTTTCTCCGTTTTCTTCTTGGCTGTATCGAAGCGGTATTGCAGCTTTCCGCCATTGTTAGTTACTCAGTTACTCGCTAACCTGACAAATTTTTCAGGATTGGGAAGCAAGTCGACGGTCCTCATCCGATCGATTCGGACATTGACAAGCAGTTTCTTGGCCTTCCTATCAAGTCAGCCGTCGACAAGTTCCAACTTCTTCCTGAATTTTTGAAGGTGTGAATCATCACGTTGCGTTTGCTTGTTGTGATTATCAGTTTAATATGCAGAAGGCACCACGACAATACCTCTACTATACTGCTTTTGTTTGAATTTCAGATGATGATTAGTAATACACCCAGTGTTAATCATCTGGTTGCAGGTAAGAGGTCTGGTTCGACAACACTTGGATTCCTTTAACTACTTCGTGAATACAGAGATAAAGAAGATAGTCAAAGCAAACGATCGCATTGAATCCAGCACTGATCCGAGTATTTATCTTAAGTACGTGTTTTCTCATTCCTTTTGTGTATGTAACCGTCCTTTCAAGTGACGGTTCATTAAATTATAAGCATCTCTATTGTACTCCTTTGTTCATTTTTAGTTTGGTAATTTTATTGTGACATCTGTGTGGTTTACAGTCAAGTCTCTTTCAAATTGAGTAGCTCTTCCCTATTTTTGTAGGTTTTTGGATGTAAGAATCGGTGAGCCTTCAGTGACCGTGAATGCTGTCAGTGAAACAATCAATCCTCATATGTGCCGCTTATCCGACCTGACGTATGGTTCCTTTGTGATTGTTGTTCCCATTTAGTTCTGCCTCTGCACTGATTTCCAAAATAGTTATGAGTGATTGTGATGATCCCTGACTGTTGTATTGTTCCAATTGCATCTACATTTTTCTCCCTGTATTAGTCGATCTAAGTTATATTGTATTTTGCTGCGGTTATTATATTTTTACCATATTGATTCAATGCTAGACCATATATAAGGAATTTAAATAATTTAATTGTGGTTCATTTTTTTTTTTTAAAATCTCTATGCATTAGATATGCTGCTCCAATATTAGTTGATATAGAGTACATTGAAGAAAATCATGCACAAAAAGCCCCGAGGGAGAAGGTATGAACGTTATTGAAAAGTTAAGTTCATTTACCTGGTTTTGAGTCTTTCAACTATTTTGTAAGTTGGATTTTGCAGAAAGACGTAGTCATCGGGAGAATGCCTATAATGTTACGAAGCCGCTGTTGTGTTTTACATGGAAAAGATGAGGCTGAACTTGCAAGACTTGGTTTGTGGCGAGAAAATTTTAGAATTAAACTATTATTTGTTAACTCATTTCTCACACAGTATTTTTTATGGGATTGTCATAAATATCGTCCATCTTTTTAGGCGAGTGTCCACTTGATCCTGGAGGCTATTTTGTAATCAAGGGCACAGAGAAGGTAACTTGTTTGAACTATTTTTTCTACTGTTAAAATTTAAAAATTGTAGTCAATAGATATCTTTGAGGTTGATTTTCAATTTTTTTACCTCGATCTCTGAATATTATCATTTATGAGTTATCTAACTCTGAAAGTTGCAGGATCAAACTATAGTCTTTCTGGGTTCGTTAAAAATTAGATAGCACTCTTGGTATATACACTGCTGATATCGTTGCTTTCAAAACTTTGATATTTGGTCTTTAATATTTATAGATAGTTTCTAAAATTAGATAGCAAAAATGAATTAAAATGAGAAAATTTTATAAATATGATCTCAACTAAAAATAAAATAAAAAGAAACTTGGAAGAATTGAAAACTCTCATTTGTTGACTGTGTGATCAAATTGTCTTTGATTAATGTAACATTCAGAATTCCACTTCTGTTTTATATTTATTTCTTAAAATTGCACATATGTAACACTGTAAAACTCTTCCATCCATGCCAGGTAGTTTTGATTCAAGAACAACTTTCAAAGAACAGGATTATCATCGATACTGACAAAAAGGGGAAGTGAGTAGCTCTTTTAAGTGTCTTGTTTAGGTGTTCTAGTTTGTCTCCATTTTCTAATGATCATTGTTATCTTGGTAATGGGATTCTCTGTAAGTCAGACAAGAGCCACCGTTTCTCTTCTATGTAATTATGTCTGCCAGATTTGCAGTTGCATATCTTGTGCACATAGGATAGAAATTGCACCTTGTGGGCATTTGTTGATACTAGATCGTGGATAGATCTACTTCTTTTGACATTTTTTGTAGGAATGTACAACACACTGCTTCATGGTGGTGTATTAATTACAGAAAATTATTATGTAATCACAATCTTTTCTTGTTCATGAACAATTGGAAAGTGTTTGTTTAGCTTCTTTGGGTGGAGTTTC